TTATATTTCATATCCTTTTGCTAGGTTGAGTTTCGAACTTTCGATCTTGAATGAGTGAGTAGTCTATGATCGGTGTTGCTCGGGAGCTGTAAAATTTGCACGCAACGCAACGCGTGAGTGGGTTCTTCGCTAAAACCGATCGGTAAATGAATATCACTGTCTTCTCTACAGTTCTACCACACAATTCTTGCTAAAACAAATTCAAGATTGCATTTTTCTTTACAACTACACTACTCTATCCTATATAACTAAATGGTTGTAAATCTCTTGCAGAGCTGTAAAGGTCCCAACAACAAGAACAACAATGCCCATCAACACAATGCCCCATATGCCAGCTGATTCAAGCCTAGGCCTTTGGTAGTCACTCATAATCTTCAAGAAGCACAAGCACGGCAAAATAATCGAAGCCGTAACGCTCAAAAACGCGCCAACAAGCGACATGAGATCCTCGAAAAACGGGATTGCTACGGCTACAACAATCGTGCTGAATACCAATCCGGACCTAATCGACGCGCTCAATCCTTTACTCCGGCTCGCGTTGAGAATACGGGTCTCGAGAGCATTTACTATTGGAGTCACCATTAAGGTATATTTTGCTAATGGGTTGACGAGTGTCGTGTAGATAGCCACTCGCGAGCTAATTTTGTTCGTGGGAAGATTCAACGTTATTTGAGATTGCACTTTCGAGCCGAACATTAGGTAACCCAAAATCGCCATGGATGCATAGCTCATTGTGCACACGAGAAAACACACGACCAAGACCTGCGTTTAGAGTCAAATAAGATATATATGTATATAAATTTGAAATGGCAAAATTGCCCGACCTTTTTTGAAATTGCAATTGAATCACAAATTTCTCAATTTTGCAAATTATATCACAATCTTCAGTTTGTTGCAAATCGATGCAGGAGTTATGAAAAACAACTCTATAAAGGCCGATGTGGTTATTGAAGAACAAAATATAATTTGCACAATTCTGCAAATCGGTGCACCGATTTGCATCAAACTGAAGACTGTGATATAATTTGCAAAAGTGGAAAGATGTTAATTAAATTGCAATAAAAAATTACCTTTGAGAACTTCTTTTGGTTCTTCATCGAAGTATAAAGTGTCGGGAAAACAGGATGCGCGCAATAACAAAAGGCGTACAAGCTAACAGCTGTCGGGATCCCTCTAGCATTGATAACCGTGCCACGCTCGTGAAATCCGATATCGTCAGATGTTCCGGCCCACAAAATCGAGCCCACGAGCACAAAAGAGGCCACAACCCCAGTGGCCGAGATGTAGGAAAGGATGTTCATGTTGTCTAACCAAACGGCCGGCATCAAGATGAGGCCCACGATGAGGATGAAGGTTTGCTTCCCGCCAATCGAAAGCCCACCAAACTCGAAGCCCACTTGGGGGAATAAGTTGTGCAAGTTGTCTCCTTCGAGAATCAAGAAGCCTGTTGCTACCAAGTACAGCTCGAGGTTCATGGCAATTGAGACTAATGTCCTTCCCTTTGGGCCGAAGGCCCGTTCTCCGATGTCTGGGTAGCTTCTTATGGCTGGGTCCACGTCCATGCACCGTTTGATTAACAGGCCCGTGTAGAAAGTGCAGCCCGCGATTAGGAAGAAGAAGATGAGGCTTGACCAGCCGGACGAGGACACGGCATACGGCATGGAGAGTATGCCAACACCTATTTTGAGCACAAAAAACACAATATTTTTCAATAATTAGCGTGATTCATCATTCATGCATGTATCAATTAGCCTACCATAGGTTTTTCACTGTTAGATTAACACACATATCTCTAACAGTGTTTTACCGTAGGTTCTGTTTTTTCAACAAACCATGGTTGGTGCTTGGTAGGCCATTGATAACGACATTGTTTTNACAGATTCGAGATAAATCTTATCAACAAATTCATCCCAAACTACGAAAAAAATAGATCTGCAAATGGAAAACAAATAGTAATGATAAACATTTAACATATGTGTAACCTGATAAAGCATTGAGGCCATTGAAGCATGTCTTGAAGAAAGACGTCGAGTGATGGTGGCCGTTTTCGTCCGCCGGAAGAGGCCGGCCGCCGTATCCGCCGCCGGCCAACAGCGGCAAAACAATACTTGTCTCCTGGGCTTCCACGTCTAGTTTCATTTTGGATAAGGTCTAAATTTTCAAAATAAATAAATAAATAGAATTGTGTACTTTTTGTGATTTACAGGCTTTTCTAGTTTGCTATATGAGTTCAGGTCTGGATATGCATATGCGTGTGTTATATACACAATAAAATAAGTCAGTGATACACAATGAAATAATTTGGATTCGAGTGTATAATAACGCGTAATATATTTAGTGGTCAGATAAAAATTATTAAAAACATGCATCATGTGGTTTGCTATATAATTATTCGAAAATATATCAGAAAATTAATCGGAACCACGACTTTCCAAACCAAATAGTCAAAGTGATTGGACGGATTTGTCGAGGTAATAAACGACTCTCTCTAATTATTAGTGATTTGTTGAGATTTTTTGTCCTTTTTGACACTACAGACTTGCACATTTGGTGCGTGTGATTTAATGAAACTTATTAACATATTTCGGAGGTATAATTTGGAATTAGTAATCAACGGCATTTGCACATAAAAGAATCATTTAAAAAGATAACAATATAAAAAATTAAAAATAAATCATAATTTAATACATGAAAAAAAAAATGAATTAAGAAAATAATTCTCAAAATTGGTTTTGATCAAGTAATTGCTATGGAAGAACCGTTACAACCATTTTCTTTATGCTAATACAGCCGGTCATTTTCATGAGTGAATGTGACTTAAAATTTGAGTACAATTTTGTAACTCCATTGATTGGTTTATACTCATAACTTATGACATTCAAACAAGTTATTTTGTAACTTAAAAATGAAATTGAATGCTGAAAATTTTGAAGGGAGAATAAAATTTAATGTATAAGAATAAAATTTAATGCATGATAATATAATTTAATGCTTTGTTGCTCCTCTTTATATATATATATATAGACTAGTACGTAACCCGTACGATGCACGAGATGTAAAATTTGGAAGAATAATATAACCTCACATGCATTAGGATCGAAATTGAAATCATTAAAATACATAAGAACATTGTTGAATCATAAAAAGTTCGGTAACAATCATATATTATTAAAAACCTCCTTGTACACAACATTATGAGTTTGATTATTTGGTAACTACTCATTATCACAAACTAATATTTTCAAAAGAGACAAATCCTAAAAATCAAACTAATATTTTTGGTGAACAAACTAATATTTTAGGATTGGTGAACAAACTAATATTTTAGGATTTCTAGGATTTGTCTCTTTTTGGTGAACAAACTAATATTTTAGGATTGGTTATATGAATAAGGCTACCTGTTTTTGATGTTCTTTTCATTCATTTTCATTCAAACAATCCAATGACTTGTATAATGAAATCCGAATCTTAAGTAGAAATATTTAACAAAAGAGTTTTTAAAAATTGAAAAGTCAAGACAATCAGTTCAGATTAATTAAAGGTCAAAGAATATCCGCTCCTTGAAATAAAGACTGTGCTATCATTAACCAAATATCCGGTTATTGATATAGAGTGGTTACCAAAAAATAGAACGCGATAAGGACACTTCATGAAAATATCAATGGGATAAGGTCATAACAGATCGCTATACTTTTTAACGATAAAAGCTCAGATGGAATGATTTATGATAATTATGTCGTAATAAATGAATTAATTAGATGTGTGAAAATGACATAATTAATGAGAATTGTGAAAAGAACATAATTAATGAAAAGTGTGAAAAAGACATAATTAATGAAAAGTGTGAAAAGGACAAAAACTTACAGGTTTTGAAAAATATTTAATACAAATCCGACATTGACTATAATTTGACCTACTATTTTGGATAAATGCTAATTCTTATTATATAAGTATAGATTTACGTCTACTTATTTGCTATAAATTCAAAATCAAAATTCAAATTACATTAGTTATTATATGTCATGACTAAATGGTAACGGACCTATTGTTTTTGAAAGGAAGACATTTGAAATAAATCAGCTCATGAAATACAATTCATCAACAGTAGTCCAGTCTAGTCACGTGATTTTTAAAATTGATCAAAATGAAGACAAATTTCATCAGACTTTCACGTGTCTAGTAAAAAATGATGCTTCAGGTCACGTGTCCCGTTACCTGCTACGTCACATCTACGTAACTTTTGCACAAATTCAAAATTTATTTAAAAAATTATGAAAATATTTCAAAAGTAGCTCCATTGGACTCCATTTTTATGGGTCTAGTTTTAAAATTTCAGTAAGAAAATTTTCAAACATGTATTGCTAGTGTTACACGACTACTTCAAAAAAAAAATATATAATCCACGTGGAGGTGATGTGTAAGTATGCAAATGACGTGGAGGTAGTGTGTCAGTTTATGAGACATATGAAAGTGCCGTGTCAGTTCTGACAAGGCATGTGGAATTTTGATGAAATTATTATTCTTAATTTGAATTATTGTCATCTATATACATATAATTAGAATTAATATTTTTCAAAAATAGTAAGCAAAAAAATAGGGAATATTAATTGCATTCTATTTTTGGTATGTTTTTTTAATTTTTTTAATAAAAAATCAAGTAGCATTTAATGCTAGCACAAATCATGAGATTTGTTATATAAATGCATATTTGAATTTTAAACTTCAAACAAAACATGCCTAAATGTATTTTGAATTTTTTAAGGAAAAAATTTAACAAACACATTAAAGATTTCATACAATACATATATTCATATATATTATCTTAACATATAGGTTAATTAGTTTCATATCTAAACAATATATATTTAAACAATATATAAACAAATATAATAATTTGTCGTACAATACAGACAAATATATAAACAATATATTTATATACAAATATAATAAACAATACAAACAAATATACAAACAATATATAAACAAATATAATAACTTGTCACGTGTATATTTCGTACAATACATATATTTATATATATTATCATAACATAAAAGTTAATTAGTTTCATATCTAAATAATATATACTTAGGAACTTAAAGATTCATAACATTACTGACGTCATGTATATTTATAATATATTGTCACATACATTTTACTACAATTGGTAGCTTTTTTAGAATTATTTGAATAATTAGAGGTTGATTTGTAATTTGAATTTCAAATTCATTCAAACATTTAATGGAAAATATCATAAGCAAATTTTTTTGATACATTTCATTTTATCTCAACTTACATATAATCACATTCCTACCAAACATTAAATTTGCTTATATCTTTTTAAATTAATTACATCACTAAATAATATTAATATACATCACATATTTATCATTATATAAAAAATGTATTACTTTTACAAGTGTTATAAATAATGACATTATATGATAATAGGTTTTTTGATAGATTAATAATTGAGTATTATGATGAACCAAAATATGTAAAATTATTATTATTTTGTATAAAAAAATAAATATATATGTTAAAATATTGTTTATAATAATATAAACGGGTCAGCATGCTATTACAATAAGTTTTATAATAAAACAATATGAGTATTATACGAGAAACAAGATTACGTAAAATTGTTATTTTTCTTATATCAAGGAATAAATATATATAATAAAATCAAATTTATATTATTATAAACATGTGAGCGAGATAATATATTAATTAATTTACGGTTTAGCGCTACCACTACCAGGCTGAGGTTTAATGTCTCGACAAAAAAGATGACGTTAATGAAAGAGGTAAGAAAATAGATGATCAAACTCTATTACTTTTTTAGGCCTTAACTGACAAACTCTATTGTCCACTCATTTAATATCTCCCGTGAATCACACGAGCTACTTTTTTTTTAAACCAACACCCCAGTAGGGTGGGGGGTTAAGGCCGAACCCCCAACCTGTATATAAAATGCCCTAAATGGGCCAAAAGTCACAAAGCTACAAGTAATTACACGAGCTACTTAACAGACAAGCTCTGTGGAAATGACTCATTTAATATTTATGTCCCGTGCATTGCACGGTCTACATACTAGTTTATATTTATTAATACAATCATTTAGACATCTTAGTCCGTGGGCCGTAATAATGTCTAGTATGTTTGGCTATCGTATATTATCACAACTGATTTTAGGTAGATGATTGTAGACATGGCCAAACATACTATTTAAGACGCTAGTTAGATAGAATTTCAAAATAAATGTCTTTTCAATAGTTGCCCATTATAACCTTATCTTGCTTGGCTCTACCTTTTTGACTTGATAACAACACGACTAGAGACTCGGGGCCCTTCAATTCACAGTAGCCAAATGAAACACAACAACTCCATGAACACAAATACAAACACAAGAAGATAAATAATGATCTAGATAAATTAAGGTGTGTTATGATAAATTTAAAAGAAAAGCTAACTGATAAATAAATATTAACTGATGGTTTATAAGTAAATTTCAAGTTTATTATAACTGATATTTTATAAGAGATGAGCTC